ATTCCCCTCTTACTGAACCCCTCAAGCTTTATTTTAAAAAACCCATCTGGTTTTTCAGAACAACATGGAGAGGCTAAAACACATTTGGAAATCAAATTGCTTTGAGCCCTGAGCACCAAGGCCAATTTTATCTCCTCAAACATATACTTTTCCAGCATCAACCAGCCAGCTGATCTTTCCTACATTCAAAGAAGGTAATTTTCTCCAATTTTCCAGTCTCTCCAGCTCTGTGTCCCGAGACACAGAGGGCTCTCTGCCGACAAGTGGCAGGATTCAAGAAAATGAGGGTGACCAGAAGAAAGTCTGCACCAGGCACAGCTATCTTACCACATAGGCAGTTGGAGTCAAGCCTGGGTATTAGGAAATTCTGTCTTGAACAAACAAAGAATTGAAAATGACAAGGTGGGAGGTGGAGTCCTTGTAAAAACCCAATACCCTCATTTTGGAATTAACATCAATCCCAGCCAGGCTTAGAAAGGGACTGTTTGCCAATTAAGCAGCACGTGGGTATTTATGGGAGTCTCAGATGGGTTTCCCATCAGCCCACACTAGGAGCTGGGGGCACAGATTTGTTTTCTTTGTGTTTATGATTTTGGATGGGATCAGGACCTCAGATTTGGAGGTGTGTTAAGATTAAATTTGTAAAGTCTTCCAGGCACATGAGACATCTGAGGAAGGCTTTGGTCTGGAGATGTGCATTTAGGAGAGGACAGAACACTGACAGCAAGAGTGTGCCGGGGCCTGGGACTTCCATCATGGAGAGTGCTAGGAAGAGAGGCTACCAGCAAGAGGCCTGAGGTAGCCAGAGCTACCCACAAGGCAGAGGCTACGTCATATTGCCCAGAGAAGGGCCAATCACTCCAGCACACAGTGCTATCCGTCTAAGAAATGACATTGTATCCCCTAACCTGGAGTCCTCTGTGACCTTGACAAGAGGAAGTTTGGGAGCCTGGGGTAGATGCCTAATCAGAGTGGGCTCCAAGGCAGGTGCAGTGGAGTAAGAAAGGAATCATGGTAGACAGCTGCCCCAGGTTGCAGAAGACAGGAGACCAGGTGGAAGCCTAGCAGGAACATGGACAAGATGAGGGCGTGGAATGGGGCAGAAATGAGGTTGCATTTATTTCAAGATCAGCACATTCTCATGCTCAAAAATGTTCAGGGGAGAAAGAAGAGGTTCCCTATAGCTATTCCTCAAGCCCGTGAAAATTCACTGTGATTCCTTTAGATGTCATATGGAGAGGAGGTGAGTCACTGGTGGCTAGAAGTAGGGGTGAACACAGGCAGGGGGAGGGGAGAGTGTTGCAACGTCTCCTAAGTCATTTCAGCTGAAGATGATGGATGAGGGATGGAGGGGTGAGGAGGGGGGAAGGTTTGAGACTGCCCATCACTTCAGGCTGAGGCAGAGTAGCACTGGGGTGATTCAATATAGGCAAAAGTGTTGTCCCATGTCACAGAACCCTGGAACAGCATAGAAAAGGTCCCCACGGTAGTTTCAATAAGAATGGCCCTTAGGCACATATATTTGAATGCTTAGCCATCATAAAGGAGCTACTTGAAAAGGATTGGGTGTGGCTTTGTTGGAGGAAGTGTCACTGGGGGTCAGCTTTGAGGTTCCTAATGCCCCTGCCAGCCCAGTCAGTGTCTCCCTGTCTATCTCTCTGCTTGTGGATCAGGATGTAGCTCTCAGTTACTTCTCCAGCACTTGCCTGCATGCTGCCATGCTCTCTGCCAAGACGATGATGGGCTTAGGCCTCTGAAACTGTAAACAAGTCCCCAGTTAAATACTTTTCCTTTCTAAGAGTTGCTGTGGTCATGTGTTCACAGCAATGGAGCAGTGACTAAGACAGTCTGCCAAGGTTGACAGGGCAGTGCAGCTACTGTAACAAATATGAGAAGTTACTCAATGGAGCACGTGTGTGGAAAG